TGCGATGCTAATGGAGACGTTCTTCCTACTTTTGTATTTCTGCTTTTATCCCTACAGTGATGGCATGACAATCACTAGGTATATATAGTTCTCTAAACTTAATTGCTTATATCTATCATGAGCATAGTTTTTTTATGTATCTAATATTATGAGTAAACCTCTCTTAGTTTTAGGTGCCTAAATTAGGTTATCCATAAGTAGTTTGCTCCCTATGTCCAAGTTTAATTCCTTTGGTGGTTAAACTCATTTGTTAATAATCTAAATAATTTAGTGATATTTTTCTTTTAATAAAGATAAGAGATCCCAATTCTAAATCCTATGACATACCATAAGGGTTAGTTAAGAATAAAAAATGTTATATCCTATCATACAACATTGCAACCTAATATAAATAGAACTTTCCCCATTTGTATTACACGATTCAAATTCACGGATCAGAATGTTTTAGTTAAGTCAACAGTAAAAAAAAAATAGTTATTGCCACCTAACAAATCGTTGGGACAACTTAAATTTTTAATCTTGTCTTTTAAAATACTAATTCTGCTTAGTTTTATGGTTAAAAATAAATAATAATTGTACCTATTAGTTAATAAATAGTAATATAATTAATATTTATTACCTAAGAAATTTAAATCAATCTGCACATTAATATATTTAAATATTATGAGTGCTGTTTACATAAAAAAAAAGTTTAAATGGCCCCAGCAATTTGTTAGGGAGCCATAACTATTTTACAAGAAAAAATTTGTTTTATAGGCACAAGGAAAAATTTACTGAAACAGAATACTTTTAAAAAAATTTTTTTTTTATTTCTTAATACATTCGAGGATGGGACGGGAGGGGCAAGCCCTAAGGATTGAACACTCAACCTTGAGGGTACACCTCCTTGGGAGCAGATGTGAGCAGCCCCTGCTCTCACCCAATTTGTAAGGGTGTGCACGGTTGGATTTTGGTTGTAATTAAAATTAAGCTATTAGTTAATCAAAATTTTAGTTATTTAATTTTTAAAATCACTAATCAAACTAGAAAAATAAATTTTATTAGTTTCAGTTATTTTTTAAGAATAATTATTCAAATCAATTTTGATTTTAATTAAAAAATTATTTTTATATTTTAAAACATTTTTTATTTTTTAATTATTACTTCATTAATTAATCATTAAAAAATTAAAAATCACTTGAATAAATAAATAAATAATTTAATAAAAAGTAGCAAGAAAAAATTTTAAATTTTATAAACCATTAAAAAATTTATATAAAAAATTTTTTGAGTCAAATTTTTTTATTAGACTCATCCAAATGATTAGTTTTTAAATTTTTAAATTTAACAACTAAAACCTAAAACCTATATCATTTATAATCAGTTCAATTCTATTTTTAATGAAAAAACTCAAAACTCAATTAAATTATACCCCCCCAATCATAATTTTAGTCAATATTAAATTTTTTTTCAATTATAGACTTTTCAACCCACCCAAACCAAGTGGTTTTAAATCTTGGTTTTGTGATGACAAGGATTTTGATGATATTGACCATCAAAGAGTCTCGTGATAATCTCTTTCTTGTCATTCTTAATCACAATTAGGGGTGGGCATTGAGCGGTTTCCCCAGTTTTGGTTGTAATCAAAATCGAGATGTCGATTAACCAAAATATCGGTTTTTTAATTTTAAAAACCAAAAACCACACCCGAATGTTATAATTTTTATGGTTTTAGTTGTTTCAGTCTCGGTTGTTTTAGTTTTAGTTTCGAGTTTCAACCACCATTTCACAATGGCTTATCGATGGCAGAAAGGAAAGTAGATATCGGAGATGAAGGAAGAATGATGAGAGAATATGGTAGAGAAAGCTAACGGAAGGAGGAGACATCAACTATAACGACGGAGAAGAGGGAGGAAAAAATCACTAAGTGATTCTTTGTTTCTAGATTTGGAAAAAAAGAATGAGATTAGGAGAAGAAACTAATAGGAATGAACTATTAGAGTTTAGAGAAGTAGAACAGATTTACTCTATTAAGGAGAGAAAGGAGAGTTAGAGAAAATGGGTTTGAGTGAAGTGGAAGGAGCAGAAGAATTGGAGAAGTCATTGTAGCACCATCAGAACGAAGGAGATATAATCAATAGGGAGGTACTATATGGATAACCTTTTTATCTTATATTTTGATACAATTTTCACATATTATTAAATGAGTGGATGCATTCAATATCATAAATCTTACATAAATAAAAAGAATCAATAATTTAAATGACATGTTAAATTGTATTAAAAAGTGATATAAAAAAATTATTTTAAAATTATTTTCTAAAAATAATAATAATAAAATAAAATATATTAAAGTAAGATGACAAATCAATTAACGAGGGAATTCAAAATTTAAAGTGGCAAATTAAAAAGTCAAATGTTGTTAGCAGAAATCCTGCAGGAAAAAACGTGAAAGACTCAAAAATTAAATAAAAATATTCAAAACAAAAATACAAAAAATAAAAAAGGTTTGGGCTTTTTACCTTTTTAGGCCTACTCATGCGGTTGTCGGTTTTTGGGCTTAGGAACCGACAACCGCCCGAGTGCCAAAAAAGCTCGACCTGTCAGTTGCGGTTGCGGTTGCGGTTGCGGTTGCGGTTGCGGTTGTGGGCGGGCACGGTTTTTTCACGATTTCGGGGACAAACGCCCACCCCTGATTCACAATGAGCTGATTAAGAGTCGTTTTCTACCCTGTCAATAGAAGGAGTGAAGGTGATGGTAAAAAAAACTAAAAATTGAAAATGGTAGTGGTCTTTGGCAATGTTTTCAGAACCAACCGGTGCATGACTTGTTTTGAACATTGAATTTGGTTTAACTAGTTGAATCAATTTAACTTGTCATATAAAAAAATAATATTTTTAAATTTTTTAAAAAGTAAGAAGCAAGATTTGATTTTAAAATAATAATAATTATATAACTATTAAATCATTAAACTCAATAGTCTTTATTGTTAATATTTTAATTTTTTAATTTATTCATAATTAAAAATTAAATATAATTAGTAATTTTATAAAAGTTAAATAAAAATTTTAATTTAAATCTTTTAACATCAAACTATTTTTATAAAAAATAAAAAGAAAAAGAAAAAACAATGTCATTAAATCAAATTTCATTTAATGTTTAAACACTTAAAATTTTGAATCTTATCAAATCATTATCATTATTATTTATTATTTTATTAAATAAATATTTAAAATCTTAAAAATAAAAGTTTAATTTAATTTAGTAATATGATTTATAATTTGAGTTTAAATGTAATTACTTTAATTTTATTATTTTATTTTTAAAATTAACTAATTTATATATTTTATTTTACGAAAATATTTTTCTAACATGTTGTTTTGCATTTATTGTGCCTTTTAATAATTAATTTTTATAAAAAATTAAAATTAATTTTAATTTATTAAATATACAATTAAAATCATCCACATAATATTGATTGAGAAAATAATTAATTGTTGAAAATTATATAAATGCACTATTAACTTTAACCAAGTTATTTTATTTTATTTTATTTTATTTTATTTTATTTTATTTTATTAAATAAATGAAATTTTGTTAAAAAATGACATTAGTGGTGTTGGAGGCCTAGTGGTAGAAAATCTAAAATGTGCATTGAGGGGATGAGGATCGAATCCTCTTCTACACAAACTTGTTGAAAGATGTTCAAAATTATGAACCAAAAGGTTTATTGGTTTAAAAATTAACAGGTTTAATTGGTTTTCTCGAGTCTTGATTGAGTTTGACTTACTTTGATCAAGTTTCACTACACGCTAGGTTTGTATCATGAGTTGAATTGTTTTTATAACCAATTTTAGTTCAATTAGTTAACCTAATCGATTTGATCTGAAATTTAAGAAAATGGTCCTTGGAGAGGGGCTCGGGAGTACTGGTTTGAAAAAATTATTTGTAGTTTAAATTATATTAAATTATACAATATAAATTATTAATGGATCAAAATTTTTTTATTGCGAGAGCGGGCTCCCCATTTGAGGTTTGCAAAACATTGACCTTTTATCAGTTTTGTAATAAATTAAGAGCTGGTTTAGCTACATTGTTGTTGTTGGTTTTTATAATTTTGTTGTTAAAATCGAAATAATCAAAATTAAAAATTAAAATTAAAAGAGAAATTAACAATTAAGTACAAAATTTTAAAAATGATAGCTAAAATTAAAAAATTCTTTAAGTTGCCAATTTTTTTAACTTTAATTTAGTAATATATACTAATTTATACCAAAAAAAAGAAAAAAAGAAAAAAAAAAGAGAGCAGACAACAATAACATTACCAGAAGGTCCTAATAAATTAGGAAGAACGGAAGAAAAGGTGAATTAGTGTTTGTATGCAGTAAATGTAAATTTAACAACAAAGACCTTCGAATTGAAACATGAATTTGTTTCTTTTAGCAGCCATGAGGAACTCAAATGGGCTCCCCAACTAACCTCACTTCGTACATAAGACCACTTCACCACACCCTTCTCTTCTCTGCCGCAAGCAAAGGTCTTAACCAGAGTTTTGGGGCCATAAAAGCATTGAGATTCAATCCTCAAAGGACCGTTTGGACCACGTTTCATGCCAGTCCAACTGTAATTTGATCCATTAATTTTCATGGTCCAAATTGGACTTTTTCCATCCCTGCAGCTGGCAATAATAAAAGTCTAATGTGTTTCAAGCATACTATTGGGAGAGGAGGATTCAAATTCCTCTATTTGTCAAGGAAAATATATTTTTCATTGGTATACAAACAAAGAGGAGAGGAAAATTATTGGTATATCATTCGGTTTGAAGCAACTTTTGACATTCACTTGGTTCAATCATTAAAATATACATGATATAAGTACAATTTATTAGGTCAGTTTTTACATGTTATATGCATGATTTCATTTTAAGTTTGTCTTTAATTATAGACTAAAAAATATTAGTTTTTTTTATAAATATATTACATAATGTGTTAAACTTAAAGATGTATTAATTAATGTTCAAAAGAATAGTTAGTCCATGTGGGTGGGTTTGCTACTAGAGTTCACCTAACCCAGCCATTTTCACAAGTCACTGAAGTTGGTCCAGGGATTTGGACAAAAACCCATAGTATGATAGTATCCACACATGTATCATATCTAAGGGTAAGTAGGTATATGTGTGAGCAAGGACAAAGCTAGGAAATTATGTTAGGTTAATGTGTGTGTTTAGCCATTTATTTTATTAAATTTAAAGTTTTTACTTCTTTGCCTTATGGTATGAAGTTTTTAATTTTTAAATTTAAAGATTTAAAGATTTTAACCCCTAAACTAATAGAATCTGTTAACTCTTCGTTAAAAATAAGAAAAAACTATTTACAAGACTAATTCTCAAAAATTTAAAATGTAACAACTTAGTTTTAAAAGTTTAAAAATTAAAAAATTATTAAACTAAAAAGAATTAATAGATGATTCTCTCACATACACTAGAATAATATCAGATATCTATAATCAAATCAAGCAATTAACTCAATTTGAAAAAAGAATTCTGATCATGATTGAAGAAAATTTCTTAACTAAATTAAGACAAAAGTTCAATAGACTAGAATAATATAATTAAGAAATTTTCTTTAATTTTGGTTAAATTTTTTCTTTAATTTGAGCTAATCACTTGATTTGGTTGTAGATATCTAATATTATTCTCGTGTACATGGCAAAATTATCCACTAACTTTTAAAAATAAATTGTTACATTTTTAATTTTTAAGAACTAATCCTTAAATATTTATTCTCATTCTAAGGGAGAGTTAACAAGATTTTGTTAGTTTAGGGGTTAAAATTTTCAAACTTTTAAATTCAAGAGTTTAAAACTCTATAGTGTAAGGTAAGGGGTTAAAAACTTTAAATTTATTAAAGTGAGGGACTAAATAAGTATTTTAGCCAATTATGTTCTAGGGGGCGAAATTTCTTGGTGAGTATTTATGTCTTAAGCATTTAAACACATTAATTCATTTTCTTGTTAATTTTCTCCTCCTTCCCATGAAGAAATAGTCAATTGTAATTGCTTTTTCAATTAATATTTTCTAAGCAAAAAGGAGAAATAAATACGTTTATTTCTAAACAAGAGAACAAAAATATCATGGAAGCACTTTCTAATATTTTTTAATTAATGAATCTTTTTATTAAAATAAGAAATATCTAACAAGAACAATGTGGAAACACCCCATGCAAAGATTAATTCGAGATTGATAAGCTTACCTAAAAAATTGGAAATTGATAAATAAAAAAAAAATGAAAACACTAAAATAACTCCTTCAAAAACTGATATCTACCTTGCGTTGATTTAGCACAAAGAACATGATTAAAAATCCAATCATGAAATGTAGTGTAACAATATGATAACAAAGAAATCGTCAAGTTAATAGATGAAACAGTAATTAAGAAAATAGAAAGAAATACTAAGGAATTAAAATTTGTATTGTGTTGATTGTGAAAAACTTTTCTCTCTCTCTTTTTTTTTTTTTTTTTTTTTCAGTTGAATGAGAAAGAAATCCTTAAAAACTTTAACTCTGTGAATCAATCAAATCTGTATAAAGTTTTCAATTTGTATCTTTAAGAAAAATCTTTACCTAGATCATAAATATTTTCTTTGTAGGAAAAAGTATATATCACTTTTGATTTTTAAAATAAATTGGAGTTCTAACTCTAAACTATATTATTTATTTAATTAAAACTTAATTTAAAATTTAAAAATTCATCTTATTAAAATTTTTATTTAAATTTAAAAACTGATTATATTAGCATATATAATTGGTTTTCAAATCTAGATATCAATATTTAATATGATGGATTTCTGAATTTTAAATTGAGATTTTTAATTTTTAAATATATGTTGGGATTCTAATTTTTTTCAAAGTCGAAATTGATATGCACTAACCTTTTTTTTTTTATATTTGAATGTTCCTCATTCAAACTCTAAAATTAAATCCTAATTAATCAAATTCAAGGGATTATCTTTATAATTGTTCAAAAGTTTAGGGGGCGGCTATCCCACTTGTCTAGTTCTAGCTCCGTCCTTGTATATGAGTCAAGTGTTTGTCTATATTTATACATGTATGCATCATATGTACCTAAATTGCAAAATACTTTTTCAATATTGTTGTACTCAATTCTTAAAAGTCTTTTTACAGACATCAAATATCAATTTTTGTAGTCCAATTAAAGACATATTAGTCAAAGTGAAATTTGTAATTAATTAATTACCTTCTTGCAACATCAAAAAATCTAATCCTAACCAATTCGATGGAAAAAACGAACATATATGTAAGCTATTTATGTCCCAGTCGTGCCCTTTGAAGATTTGAAGGTGAAACACCCAAGATATAACTCTTTGGGCATCTATTGAGGGGAAATCTTCAAGGTATTGATTTTTTATTATTTTTTATTTTAAAAAATAAAATTAATGTTTTTCTATAAAAAATATTATTTTATAATTCTTATTACAAAACAATTTTTTTTTTAAAATAAAGATTTCCTAGATTGATGAGGTCCAACTCATTGAAGCAGTACTAATATCCAATGTTTTTAGACTCGGCTCGGTGATTGACCCGTTTTTGCCGTCGAGTGTGGTTCAACCGATTGAACTGATTCACTTGATTGGTTCAATCGGTTGACTAAAAAACATTTGTTTTTACTTTTTTATTGGATTTTACATTTATATATTACTTTTATTTCATTCTTAAGAAATAATCATCATAAAATTAAATTGAAAATCATCATTTAAACTATTTAAAATAATAAATGTAATTAAATACATATAATTTTTAAAATCTAAATTAACAAATATGAAAAAACTTCAACTCCAAGCATTTAGCAATTAGCATTAACCACACTTCAAAACACTTTTGAATCTTCAAAAGCTTCACATACTAAGCAGACCGAAAGTTACAACATTCAACAATTAACCCAAAATAGTTAAGCTAACCCACAACATAAAATCGATAAAGAGAAGGAAAAACAGAGAAATAGACCTTCATTGATTCTGCCTAACTTAGCCAAGTCACTGAGAAGCCTAGGAACCGATCCCAGCACGTTCTCATAATAAATCCCCTGAGGCTTGTTCACCGCCATGAGCCATTCGTCTTCATATAAGACATCACTTCTTGACAGAGCAAAGAGGCTTGATTTTGAAGAAGTAATCATGGCTCTCGCCAGCTCTATGTCCTTTGAGATTGACAGCAGAGGAGGGGAGAGTGGTGTTGGGTAATCTTGACGGAGCTTGGCAGCATTCTAAGAAATGGGTTCTGATGACATCTTGGTGCAGAGAAAGGGGACAGTCACCGGTCAGGGAGAGAAGGGTTTCGTACAGAGAAATAGCAAGATGGAGGGAGTGGATGCATTACCTTCCAATCGATTGCATAGAAGAATCCCATGAAATTGTCGTAGGTTGGTCGAAGGCCCGAGCGGAGCTCCGAAGAGAGCTTCTGAACAAGATCCGCCATTTGATTCATGTGGTTGTTAAGAGTCGGTCAGGCTGCTTTGTTGCTTCTGTTCAGCGGAAGAGATGACTAGATGAGGCGGTGACTGGTGGTGAGATCTTGACGGAAGTGGAGTAGGGAGATTAGGGCCATCAGGTTGCTTTGCCGGAGGTGATGAGGGGGTGACTGGTGTGGTGAGATGCCGATGGACTCACGAAGATGGAGCAGGGATGAGGGTGAGGGATGGCCGATGGGATGATGTCTTTTACTTTCTAATTTTGTTTTTTTTCCATGTGTTTTTACAAAATAGGGTTTTTAGATTTAATTTTAGTTTAAATTTAATATTTTTAATGTAATATTATTAAAAAAGGGATAAAATAGGTAAATTATATTAAAAAAATAAAAAAAAAAGTAAATAAAGGCATCACAGATTCTACTCAGCGGGTGGGACGAGCTTGGCGTTTGGAGCGGGTTTGGCTAGTCTGGCGGGCTAACACGGGCCAACTTGCAAAACGGGTCAATGTATGAAACCAACCAGTTTTTAAGCTCGGGTTTGGTTGAACCAGTTCAACCGACCGAGCCGGACTGAGTTTTAAAACCATGCTAATATCCATCATAGTTGGGATGTTGTATGGTTCTCAACAATTTGGTCCTTGTGGGTTGCTAGAAATGCAAACTTTTTCAAAAATTGTGAGTATGAAGCTAATAGGATCTTTGAATTTATTCAATTGAGGGCTTTTCATTCACTACTGAAATTCCTCTTTTCAACAACATGGTACCATGTTGGTGAAAGTAGTGCCCTTGTTGCTGAAAGTATTTCAGCAACAAGAACCATGTTGGTGATGTTTTTGTTGGAGAAGCTTTGGTTGGTAATACATCAGCAACATCAGCAACAAGCTTTATGTTGTTGATTCATGGCCCCCATTTTATTGTTGAAAGTGGAGTTTTACCGACATGACTCATGTTGTTAAAAAAGTCACCGAAGACGGCCACCGGAATTTTGCACCCTTTTAAGCAACATAAGCCATGTCAGTGAAAGTTTGGTTTGACCAACATGGCTTATGTTGTTAAAAATAGAGTGACTAGAATTGTGGCACTCTTTTCAACAACATATCCCTTGTTGCTATAATTGAGTATCCTACTTTTAGTAACAAGTTCCTTGTTGTTGATAATCCCATAAATAGTCAAGCCCACCCCATTTTTAGCAACATATCGCTTGTTGCTGATTCTTCTGTGAATAGTAAAGCATCTTACTTTCAGTAACAAGGAACTTGTTGATTATTTGTCACTTTTAGCAACATATTCCTTGTTGTTGATAATGTTGTAAGTACAAGCATGCACACCTCATGCCAATTAGCAAGTTGTTCCATGTCAGTGATGCTGAAAATTGCCATTTTGAAAATATTTTACTTACAAGTGGTCGGCAAAAACCTATTTTTAGCTCTTTACCTTACTAAATTTGTTGGTTTTAGTCCCTCACCCTATACTATGACACTTTTAGCCTTTTATCTATTAGAATTAAAAAAAATAGCCCTCACTTATAATATTTTGTTAGTTCTATTAATTAACTGTTAACTTTATTAACTGATTATTAGTTAACCATTAGCTGGCAAAAACCTATTTTCAGCTAATAGAGTTAACAAAATAGTTATGTTAACTGACTATTAACTCTATTAGTTGACTTTTAACCAAAAACCTACTTTCAATTAATAGAGTTAACAGTCAGTTAATAGAACTAATGACATATTATAAAGTGAGGGTTATTTTTTTCAATTCTAATAGGTGAAGCGCTAAAACCTACAAACTTAGTAAGGTAAAGGGCCAAAAGTAGGTTTTTGCCCAAGTGGTCTATTGTTGATAAGTTTTTTCTTTGAAAAAAAAATATAAATTTATAAATTTTCTCTATCAATATTATGAATACATATTCCTCAGTTACATTAATATTTTAAAAAATATAATTAAATTAATTTCATTCTATCATTACAAAATTTAACAGTAATGTATTACTTAATTAAAAAAATTCACTTTTTATAATTATAATCACTAAACAATAAATTCCATGCTATCTCATTCATAACAGAATAAATTATACAGAAAAAATTTTAACTAAATCATTGATATTTATTTTTACCATATATATCTAAAATTTTAGCTATGTACATTTAAAATAAGCATCTCAAGGTAATTAATGTCGGTCTAGGGAACTTACCAAACTTGAATTTTTTTACTTTAATGAGATTTACCTACAAAACAAACAAAATACCAAAATTAATAATTCTTACATATATACTTATTTATAATTTTATTAACTTTAAATTAACTTGAAACATACTTAACCACTTAATGTTTATAAAAATATTTAACATAATAAAATCTCAACATATGCCTCAAGAGAACAAAGAGGTTAATGAAAATTAATTTAATTACTGATATATATATATGAGAATTTTATGATAAAAGAGAATAATGAAATGATACTTGATAGATAATTAATTGATAAAAATTGAGTGAGATATGGAGGATTTTCTGTAAAAAATGAAAAGAAAAAGGCTGAGAAATGGAGGAGGTAGAGAGCATGCGTGTAGGAGAGAATGGGAGGAGGAAGGAAAGAATTGCTCTCAACTAGGTTGGGGGTGGGGTATAAATAAAGCCTTCAGCATCATATAACATGTTGCTAAAAGGTTTCCCCCTTTATCAGCAACATATTTCATGTTGCTAAAACTTGTTTGAATTTGAAAGGGCACAGTTATCACCAACGTGTGCCATATTGCTGAAACTTCAAATTATCATTCTCGCCCAGTATTTGATTCATATACTTAAAAAATTCATTTCTATATCTAAAATTTAATTTCTTAGTTGATTTTTTATACTCTATTAAATATTACTTAACGCTTAACACTTTAATTAATATAAGTACAATATTACTCTTTATTTAAATGATTTAAATTTCTAATATGTCTAACAAAATAATGCAGATATATTTTTGAGTTTACATAAATATTTCACATAAAAATATCAAATATTTTTGCTTAAGAGTTGACTATTGAAAGCGAGAGTTGAATCTTTCTCATTAAGAGTTGACTCCTCACATGAAGAGTCAACTATGCCTTTCGTCTAGAACGTCAAATTTATAAAAGTAATTAATTTTAAATAAAAACATAAAAATAATTATGTGAGGGATGAAAGAAACAAATTAAATTGATAGAATAAAGAACAATTATTAGCACAAAAGTAGAAGGTGTGAAAAGTGTATATGTAATGGCTAGAGAAAGGGTATTATATAATGGCCACTGGCGTCGGTCGGTTAAAGTGGTTATATCACCAACATATTCTCTGTTGCTGATTTTTGGTTGCTAAAAATAAAGGAATAACAGCAACATTGATTTTGTTGGTGATGTATAACATCAGCAACATGGTATATGTTGCTATTGCTTCAAATGGATGGAAACTTATAGTAAGATGTCCCTTATTGCTGAAATGGTATGTTGTTGAAAGTGGGGCTCATTTTTAGGTGGAAATGTGCACTATACAATGACTGGGAAATTACAGCAACATGTTCCTTGGTGCAAGTGGAGCTTACTTTTAGATGGGAATAGCTTTCAACAACATAGTTCTTGTCGATGAAAATCTATATCATCGACAAGGACACCCATGTTGCTAATAACTTGTTGCTAAAAGTAAGAGTTTTAATAGTGAGTGGTTAAAGGTAGATGTTTCAGATATTTTTTTACTTTTTATGAATGGATGTTTGAACCTATCTTGTGTTTAAAAAGAAACATAGCATATAATTGGACATGCTTTTGGTGTTTAAACTACTAGGAATTTGATTGCTCAAACCATGTAACAAATTTCTACATTTTTTTATTGTTTTTGTCCGTTAGCTTCATGGTGTATGTGGGAGCCTTTTATTGATTTTTTGGGTTGATTGTAATTATTTTTGTAGTGATGTATTGGACAGGAGTACCCCTTGTACTCTATTTAATATATTTCTTTTTTCTATGAAAGAAAAAACTAATATCCATCGTAGTTGTATCTCAACTTTATTGCTTTTTTGTGTGCAGAACATTCTACCATATCTTTTAAGAAAAAGAGTGAATGGACATCTACAATTCAATAATGTTGATTGAATCGAAGACTTTTGGAGTTGGAGCACCTAGTAGAAGTTTCCTAGTTAATGTATAGATAGGGACCAATATTTATAGCTAAAAAGAAAATTCCCAAAAGAATGAGACTTTCTAGTGACTAGTGAGACGTTCAATGCATGGAATTGCATCCAATTAACATGAGTTTGTTTTTATCCCCTTATCCCATTTCACATAAACCTCCTTTTTGTTTTTCGAATAATTACTCATGGTTTAAGATTTTTTTGAACGTGAGGAATTATTAGGAGAAAGGCATATTTTTGAAGGTTAAGTGGGAGTTGAATTCCTAAACTAAAACTCCCCAAACTTAGATATTAAGAGGTGAATGACCAATAAGTTCATTAGAGCGGATTTGTCTTGATTTTTGACTTTTAAAAATGGAACTAGAAGCAATTTCAAAGTTTGAATAAGAAGACAAGCACCCCATTAATGAATTGTATTAATTATTACTATCATTTTGGTGGACTATGACTATTGCAATGAGAGGATAAGGTATTGCAAATGGGGTAGTGGGAAAGGGTGTGTCTTAAGTTTTTAGGAAATGAAAGGAAAGATTAGGGATTGCCATCTTAGTAAAATTTGGAGTAAGTTGTCATGCAAAGCCAAGAAACTTGTTTTTGTCAACAGCTTCATATAGAAAACAGTACAACAGACCCTTCAAGTTTTGTCATTAATTTGTCAATGAAAACCAATCAAAGCAAGATTTTAATGATCTAATTCATCATGAGATGATGTTGACACATAAATGTGCCAAAAAGTGTTTGTCATGTTGCTTTCATTCCAAGATTGTAATTCATGGGGGCTGTTTCTTTTCTTTTCTTTTTCTTTTTTCATGAATTTTAGGATCATGCATTATTTTGAGTTGATTTCCAATATGAAGATAGCTGATTCATACTAAGGAAAAAAATCCAAGCATATATGAAAGAAAATGAGAAGCAAAAGTCTAATCAATTATATATTGGATCATGTTGCTCCTCAACAGTTTCAAAGTTCTAGTTTTGCCCCTCCCCTTATGAAAGATAGATATATCC